AAGAAGATTTTCATGCTAATGCGATATATTTTTGGGTTTGGTGAGCAGAGAATCTATAATCTCAAACGTATTCGATTTACATTAAAAACGCTTACATTCTACCTAAGTGTCATGCAGATTAATTTTTGTAAGAGAAAATATATTTATCTATGTGGGAGATATATCTTTTGATATTTGTTATTCTAATTTCTCCTGTATATTATAAAAAATTATGATTTTTTGTTTTTAAATATTTTAATCCCGTGTTTGATGCGGGTCAAAAAATCTAGTGAATATATTAGTGCACATGACACAAAGCTAATGCCTTTCTTATTAGTAATTGGAATCTTGGCATTAACTATATATGTTTCTCTTGATTGGAATTTCTCTTATCTTTTGCAGGTTAAATTTAATCTATTTTAGCGTAAAGCTCAAGGTATAACTCTTGTGACAGCCTAGACGAAGCTAGACCTTGCAATGGAGTCTTCATGTAACAAACTAAACCAGGTTTCTCCAACATGTCAATGTCTTCACGAGGTGTAGATGAAGTCCATGAGAAGCAATGCAACAAATTACCAAGTGCTAACGTTATCAAGTTCATGCTAAGTTGTGCAGCTGGACACACACGTCTTCCTGACCCAAATGGAAGAACACGAAAGTCTTGACCTTTAACATCGGTTTCCTCCAAAAGAAACCGTTCTGGTCTAAACTCATTCGGGTTTCTCCAATTTGTAGGATCTCGACCAATCGCTTGTACATTGACATAAACCGTTGTTCCCTTAGGAACTTTGTATCCACCTATGTGAACCGATTCGCTAGCCTTGTGTGGAAGCATCAATGGAGTTGGAGGGTGAAGCCGGAGAGATTCTTTGACTATGCATTGAAGATATGGTAGTTTTGGTATATCTGATTCATACATTAACCTTTTGGTTCCAACCACGGAATCAAGCTCATGTTGTACTTTTCCTTGCACGGCCGGGTTTCTTAAAATCTCTGCCATTGCCCATTCGATAGTAATCGCGGTTGTGTCAGCTCCCGCGGTTAACATGTTCCAAACAAGTCCCATTACTGTCTCCTCGCTTAGCTCATTCCTCTGTTTCAACACTAAAAGACTATGAACTAAACATTTCTCTCTTTCTCCATATTCTTCTTCCTGATCCATTACGGCTTGTCTAAACCAATGTCTTCTTCGAGCCATGTGCTTCAAGAACACCTTGTCACTAGTGAACCACGAAGAAACCCGTTTAAGCCACAATGCGTGATCAAGTAGCTTCATTGCGCCGGGTAAGCGAGTCTCCTTTTCTACTATGGACTTAAACTCTTTTCCTTCTTTTGGCTCCAACTTTTTACCGATCACTAATTTTGATACAATGTTTAAAGCAACCGAACCAAGATAATTCCTCAACATAACCGGTTTCTGATCATCGATCACCAAGTCCTTGAAAATCGACATAACCATGGATCTTACTTCCATCTCTCTCATGAACGTGAAACATTCGATGCTTTTCGTAGAAAAAAGCTCGAGTGTACAAAGTTTTCTCAGTTTCACATAATGTGGACCGTAATCGGACCAAATAAGATCACTACCGTTCTGTGTCATCCTCGCGGTTCTATGTCGATTACTCAACTGGTAGTCTTTGTCTCTCAACACTTGTCTAGCTAAATCTGAGGTCGAGACCACAACAGCGAGTTGTGTCCCTAACCACACTGATATGATTGGACCATAAGTCTTTGACCACTCTGAGAAAGAATGTGTCCAAAGTGGTTTCAGTTGATTAAGGTTTCCGATCAGAAATCGCGGTGGTGGTCCCGGCGGTATGTTGGATCTCCACCGTCGTTGATAAAGCATGAAAACGGTGATTATGATAGTGGCTAATGGAATGAGCAATAGAACCATTTTGGAATCTATTAGTGTTACAAACTAACACTGAAGTGTGAATACACAAATTATTAAATCATTTATATAGTGGCTTATAACTCATAGTCATGGTTTATTGGTTACTCTAATTTAGATAGCACGTAATTGCCAATGAAATTGTCGTGAATTTGATTCATTTTTGCTTTCCCACACAGACACACTTTCTGCATTTTCTATTTGATTCAAAAGTGATATTTTGTTAGAAGTTTTTCACATTTTAATACCGTTGTAAAAACCATTTTTTTGTTCATTTACAATCTTATAAATCTATTGGAGGAGGTAATCTGAATATATGTATCTTACTTAATAGGTTAAAAAAAATTTAACCAAATGACCTTGGATTAGCTGCGATTAGAAGAAAAAAAAAAGATAAAAAATTCAACATGAATTTGATTTCTCTTTATATCACTTTCAAACTATTTGAAATGATGTCACGTTTTAGATCTATTATTAAACGATTATCCTTGTAATAAAGTTAGGTTGGTAAAATTTGAATCACTTAATGGTTATATAATTTTCTTTTTTGAAAAATTTCATGTTTAAAATGAAAATAATTACCCCATAAAAATTAGTTATGGACCGTACTGCAAACGAAATACTTGACCAACCAAGCTCGGTTTAGTTCGGTTAACGTTTTCTGCAATATCTGTTTTACTTTTTTTTCTTTGTTAACCGTTCGTTATCTGCAACTTTTTACCTTTCACAAACTGTGTTTAAAACATTTATGCTGCACTGTTAGATAAATTTTCCAAGTGTGGAGTTCAAGTAAATACGAGTTATTAGTATGAGATTCACAAAGAGGTACGTCCTCCTCTACTCTCTCAGTTTTTGCAAAGCTAAACCTCATTTTTCCCCAATTCAAACTCGGAAAATTCCTCTTGTACTAGATCAAGTCCTATGGTCAAAATTCTCTCACCAACTTCAATAGTGTAAAATGTACACAATCAAGATAAAAAAAAAAATTCGAAATACCCTTGAGTCTGGACATTATTATTATGAGTCACATAGTTTGTTTCA